GTCAAAAGCACAGTCAGTTTAATCATTTTCCTGTATATACAGTTACTCTGTTATGGGGTCTCTACACAGCAATGGTGAAGAAAAAGAATAAGTACAAACATTTAATTTACCTTAAAAATGTGCAGTAGTGACCTCAGTCAGTTCTTGCTTGAGGACAACATATGTTCTAATTTATATATTATTACATAGCAACAGTTTTTTCCATTTTATTTCAACTAAGTTATTTCAAAGTTATTGAAATAACTATTTCCATTGACTTCACACTCATTTGATACTATCAAAATAAAAATATCTAGCTACTTACAAAAATGAAATAACCATCACACTAAGTTTTAAATGGACAAACTGGTATCCAGAAAGACATATAAAGGGAATAAGTCACTGCATAAAAATATTTTCAAGAAATAAAGCACTCAAGAACTCACCTATAAACACTGCTTAGAAACAGGAAGTCCAAATTAAGATTATCCTAACATTTCCCAAATAGCATTTTTACCCCCACAGGCCCTTTGCCTCACTGAACGCATAAAAGTTGCTCACTGAATAAAGATATATTTCATTTATTGTTATTGATGTAGCTTTTCTATCCACTCAACTTTCTGACACTTGCACTACTGGAAGTATTTCAACAACCTGTCAATTCTTTGTGAGGGCTAACACTAGCAGAGGTGAAACAGCTAGTTTAAGATGTCTGTATGCATACAAACACTCCAGCTGGCAACGTATTCCAGAAATATAATTATGCTACACCAATGTGGTTCCCAACCCACTTTTAGACAGGCATCATTGAGGAAAAAAAAAAGACCATGTTCCTTGTCTTACCTAGGTTCAGCTTCCTGCCTTTTCTACTGCCAGCCTAAGAACTGTTACAGATTCCCTGTGTAAGTAGTGCAAAGAATTGCTGCCATCTGCTCCTCACTCATGCCAGAAATGCACTAGAACACTCAAGAGACCCAGTCCAGTGTCAGCTATTTAACAATCTCATTTGGGTATCTCCATCTCCTACTCCCAGGCCAAGCAGAGAGCACTTGCATAGGCTCTATGTAATGCCTCAGCTGTCATTTATAGAACAGTAGCATAGAGTTTACTTGAGCTGAACAACCCTTGCTCATTCCCTCTCCAAACTTACGAGATCATTTATTCCTCCAGTTTTTCCAACTCAGATTTTCTTCATCCCTCCACAAGCGCTTTTCTCCATGTCTAACTCCACAGTTCTCACCTGTCAAGCTTTTCATCCACCCAGACCTAGCAAACTCTCACCAGGCAAGCCCTTCTCTCAACCCTTCTGCCTACTTCCTTACTTCGTTCTTCCTGCTTAGCCAGTCCAAGCCTCCCATTTCTTGCTCCCCCTAACCACCCCTCCGGTACGTCTCTCCTCCCATTGATATTCTAGGTAGTAAGGGGTGGGGAGCAGAATAATTTGCCTGCATTCAGGACCAACTTCAGGCTAGATTTGAATATACAGGAACAGTAATGTCCAATGCCAGACCCCAGAACACACCCACTCTAACACCTGAAATGTCTGCTGGCTGTTCACATTTCCAAACATGACAGCACACACTAGCTGGTATTTTTCAAAAGCCTGTAAGATGGGCAAACAGGGATGAATTTTCACAAACAGAATAAAAACCCTGGTATGAGCTTTCTCTCTGCTCCAACCCAAGGCATGAGAATACTGAAAATAGTCTATTTAGAGGATATCAGGCTGTGTGGGGTTTTGTTTGAGTGGATTTTTTTTTTTGTTAAGACAGACAACAACATTTTCAACCCCTCTGTTTATCACATTCTTGAGAACCACTGAATCCTTCCAGCTGAAGTTGTCCAAGACATCCACAAAGAACAGATCCTCTGACATGAATTTAACAAAACAGAATACAGGTACTTAACAGAATCATAGAATCGTTTAGATTGGAAAAGACCTACAAGATCATCAAGTCCAACCATTAAAATGTAAGCAATCTAATTAAGTACAACTACATATCCTTCTTACAAGGAAGGAGTAGGAGGGAAGAAACTGCATCGTGAAGATGAACAACAGAACTGTAACCTAAACCACAAATAGGTTATTAAGAGTAATGACTGTCCAGGTTACTGTAAATCCAACTGCACCTGCAGGAAGCTTCCACTCATTGTCATCTGTTCCACAGAAAACCTACCCGAGTAGCAAATACTTCCAAATACCTGTCTGCTTATCGACCTACAGTAGCTGTGCAGTAGCTTGGGAGGGGATTAAGGCCTTTCCCTGAAGTAGCAATAACTTCATCATGACCTCTGTCAAAAATAAAGCTTTATGTAGGAACAGTAGCCAATACCTCACCTGCACTTCCCTAACTGCAGCAACCTCTTTTCAGGGGTCACTCCTGCTAGGTGGGGAGGCAGCTCAAGGCTGCTGCTGACATTAGGGCCCAAGAGGTATTAAACACCTAAACTTCAACCTAGCCCTTCAGTTAGTTAGCCACCCTAAACTATGCAGAGTAAGTTTGCAACACCAGCCAGACTCTCAGTAAGCTCCTAGCTCAAAAGAAACCCATCTATTCTGCTGCTGGACTCTGCACAGAGCATGAGAGACTGGAGCTACGCACTCAGCTACCATCTTGTTTCTTCAAAGAGTACTGAAACAGAATCAGGACAATGATTCTGCTACTGCTACTCTGATATGCACACCAATACTTTCAAGATGATGACTGGTGACTTTTATAAGCTGAAGTAGGTTTTGATGTGTTTCATCTTTTTAGCAACTAAACCAAAGTCTATCAGACCTTATTTTAAAACAGAGCTAGTATGTTTTAACCAGCAAAGTGTTTTACACAACAGTAATCAGAAGATTCATGTTTTTGTCAATTAGTACCATTTGAATATGGCATTTAAGTTTTTATCCATTTAAATTTGCAAGACCTGAATGTGAGAAGTTTGCAAGTATAAAACATGTCCCAAAAATACACTGAGTAATATGAACAATAAGTATATGATAAATATTCATCCATGGTGTCAAGTTTCTTGAAAACTACAGATGCTCAGTCTTTCTAATAAGATGTGACAACATTAAAGGCTTTCACATAAGTAACTGTCACTGGTATATTTTACATGTAACTATGGATTATGAAACATTGTTAACTATGCTAAAGATAGCTATTTTATGGACTAAAAATTAGACATGTCAATTAACTTACATGGTGAATAGTTTTTGTTTATTAAATTATTTAGCAACCTATAGCTTAGCTTTGCATCTCAAACACAATTTATTTTGCTACTGCTACTTTATTGGAAAAATACTACCAAATTGTAATACAAAGCCAAGTAGTCCTCCAGAACTTCTTGAAACTACATGCATCTAAACTTGGAAACACTTTAAGGTGCCAATGTCTCCATTGTAGCTTTTACCCCCCTTCTTCAAGGATGCATCTTCCTACCTCCACGCATTATGGAGGAGATTACATCCTTGATGTTATTCATATGGCAATACATGGAAAAATATAAGCCACTTGGGTGGGTGGGTGTGTTTTGTTTCTTTTTGGTGGTTTGGTTGCCCCCCCCCTTTTTTTTTTTTTTTTAAGTACACTGCTATTAATAAAAGCTCTTCAGAAGTTTTTCTAAACAGACATTCTGGAAAGCCTATGCATCACAGCTTAAACATCTATAACAAAGTGTAGCCAAAAATCCTATAGTCTTCACGATCTTGTCAAAATTCATAGCCTCAAATACTTGAAATTTTTGTCTCATTCTTTTAGAAATAGGGAGAAAGGTGAGAATAGCACACACAAAATTGGTTTAGGCAAAAAAAATTATTTATTTTTTTAGTATTTAATGTTTCAGCTATATGCTCTGAAGTTCAAAAGAAAAAAGCTCTTATAACTGCAGTTCCTCACAGCAGAATTTATCAGTAAAACTAATGAGATAAGCAGGATCAATATAGTAGTCTTACTACTAGGGAAGTGTTGTGGTATAGTACCAGAACAGATCTTCATTAGCATCCTGTGCTGCATTAGGAGGAGTGTGGCCAACAGGTCGAGGGAGGTGATCCTTCCTCTCCACTTGGCACTGGTGAGACATCTGGAACAGTGGGTCCAGTTCTGGGCTCCCCAGTACAAGAGAGACATGGACATATTAGGGCGAGGCCAACACGGGGCCATAAAGATGATTAAGGGGTTGGAGCATCTCACAAACAAGCAGAGGCTGAGCGCGCTAGGGCTGTTCAGCGTGGAGCAGAGGTAGCTTGGGGGATCTTATCAGTGTGCATAAATACCTTGATGGGGGGAGTAAAGGCAGAGCCAGGCTCCCCTCAGTGGTGCCCACTGAAAGCACAGAAGGCAGTGGGCACAAATTGAAACAGAGAATTCATTTAAATGTAAGAAAATGCTTTTTGCTGCAAGGGTGGTTGAATACTGGCACAGGTCACACAGAGAGGTTTAGGAGTCTCCATTCTAGGAGATGATTAAAATCTGACTCTGCATAGTGCCTTCCAATCTCAGTCATTCTGTGATTCATTTCTTTGCTACTGCAAAGTAAGCTTTTTCCCCCTCATTTTTTTCTTTTCATACCAGTACTTAGTACAAACTACAGTAATCTTATGGTCTGAAGAGCAGTGAAAATAACGTATGCAGAGTTGAGTGTCACACTACTATACCTGACAGCTCTGGAAACCTACAGGAAAAAAGAAAGGAAGGCTAAAAGAAAGTAACAGAAGAAAGCTACAATACTAGTTATTAGTTTTGCACAGAGCTTGTATTGTTCATAAAAGGTCTCAGGAGTATGTTACACAAACTAGCAATAAGCAGCTTTTTTTACAATCTTCTCTCAAGAACTGCCAAATTAAAGAAGGTGAAAATTATGTTAAGAAGGTAATCCAAAAAAGATCTAAGTCCAGAAGTGGTAGAAGATAGTTTCAAGAAACCAAAACTAAACACGGAAGAAAACAAAGTCACAGAAAACCCACTGAAATAAAGGAGAGAGAAACAGAAACGACAAAGGTATTCAGTACAAAGAACATTAGAAACCCCAAGAAGCAGATCTGCCAAATTTTGAAAGAACTCCCTCCGAAAAAAAAGTCAGTAGCTCTTTCCCCTACCTAGCCAAATGGATGCAGAAGCTTACAAATACCGTGTTATCCAAATCAAACGTAAATATCAGCCTAAAACCTCCAAAATGAAACCCAGTAAACTCAAACTTATCCTTACGTTTCAATTTGTTCCTGCATCAAATGACAGTCAGAAGTAACATCTTTGGTAAATATGCACAGTTGATAAACGCTAGAAGAAAGTAAGCATGGCTCATGCAAGAATTAGCTTGGTTCTGAAGCAAGAGTCCTTCCAAGCACAACTGCTGCTGAAAATCAACTGAAATAACTATCAAAAAGCAAACTTTAAGAAATTATCTTTACTAATTCAGTGAAAGTTTAAGTGTCCTGCTTTTTCTTCAAGCAGAGAAATTGGGATGCTATAGATACATGAAAGACATAGCACATGGGTACTAGCTCAAAAGCTGATATTCTCCTGTAACAGTCTGAAAACGCTTATCCTCTCTAAATACTTACAGTACACTCTTGCATCTCCTGTTCCTTAGTTGCCAGCCTCATCACCAGAATATTTTCTCTTCGGGCAGACTCTTGCTGTTGCTG